ACATTTATTTTTCCTCTGCACAACATGCTAATGAGAGGGTGTCAACCATGGACTTGGTCGGGTCATGTCATAGCTTAGGGTGACCATACGTGCCATTTTCCCAGGACGCGTCCTGGCCAGGATTTCTATATTGCCTAAAATATCTAGGTTTTGGCTTTGTTTGCATGTGCAGACCGATCGGTGTATGACATCAAAGTACCATACAGACGGTTATGCTTTCGAAACGCTCTCGAGTTACTTTGATGTCAAACACTGATCGGTCTGAGCCGCACTGCTTTTAAGTCGAACACACCTAATATGTACGCGTAATTGCATCGCTTTGACCGTAGATCCCTCCTTCTCACACGCCATGATTGGGCCATTATGTACAATGCTTGCATGTTATTGGTCAAACTACTTTTCGATCATTACCTTCAGCAAGCATGAAAACAGGAAACCAAAGCCAAAACAAATCCTGGCCAGGACGCATCCTGGGAAAATGGCACGTATGGTCACCCTAGTTTTAGCAGACATAGGCAAAGTGCGCAGGTTGTTAGGATTGCACTGCCTATAGTGTGTGATGCGTGGTTTGCGAGTGGTAGTAATAGTAGGGATATGGAAACACATAGTAACGGAGTTGGTCATAAAAACTGAAACCGAAGTGAAGCAAGGTGTAGAAAAGAGGATGAATCAAAAGTGATACTTACAGTATGTCCCTTGCCGGTGTCCCTGCTCGGTGGAGCCGCACGGTAGAGTCAATACGGTAGAGTGTCTTTACACTCTTCGGTCTTCACGAGGAGGTGTTCACACGAGGGCTGCCGCGGTATACTAACCTTTTTTATACCCGTTTGACAAAACGGAAATTGAATTTAGCTGAACACACTTTACTGTTAATTACAACAAAGGGCTGAGCAAGTGCACGACACTAACAAGGTATGCAATACAGTACGAGACCAAATGCAACTTCAGCACGTCTCAACACAGTAAACAAAAAGCGTTTCCTAGCAACGACAACTGCGCTAAACACTAATGAGACAAGAAATAAATACACTTACGGTCTGCTTTTAACTTCCGCTGATTGACTGCTTCTCTCAAAGAGTACTTCTTTACACTGTCGTTTGCTAGCGCTTGAACACACTTTACTGTTTATCACAACAAAGGGCTGAGCAAGCGCATGACACTGACAAGGTATGCGATAGAGTACGAGACCAAAGGCAACTTCAGCACGTCTCAACACAGTAAACAAAACAAGCTTTTATTAAAATGTGTGTGCCTTTCCAAATCATACCGATTCAATTGAATTTGCCACAGCTTAACTTTACTTGAAGTGTGACATATACAAGCAATATGAACGCTCCTGAGCTAAATTTCAACTGTCCCAGAGAAAAGTAAGAATACTTATGAAATGGAATCATTTAAGTTTTTTATTTTTAATAAATTTGCAAAGATGTTAAAAACCTGTTTTTTGCTTTGCCATTATCATGTATGGAATGTAGATTGATGTGGGATTAAAAAAAAAGTAATTTAAAGCAGTTTAACATAAGGCAGCAACATAACAAAACGAAAAAAAAAATACTTTCGCAAGGCACTGTACATATTGAAACCAGAATTGACAACAGTCAGATTTGTGGAGCTGAGCTAAATAACTTTTTCAGACTCGGTCTGGAGTTCCATCCTCTCTCCTTCGCAAACCTGAACACACTCCCAAACAGATCAGGGAATGAAGCCATCAGGTTGATCCTCTCTGCCTCCACTGGACTATGTAGAGAAAAAAAACACCAAAAATATGGTCTGACACACAATAATACTGAATTATTCTGGTATAAATACTATGGTATAACATGTCCCTCACTAATGCTCGTGTAGGTTGCGTATAAAACGGAGCAGACCCAGCGTATTCTCAGGATAGGCTTTCTTCTTACCATCCAGTTTCTGGACAATCTCAGACAACAACTGACAAAAAAAAAAAACACTATATATATAAATAAAATTACTTTTCAAACCAAGATTATAGCAGGACAGGAACTACATTAAAATTATTTTAAATGATCTGATTTGTTTACATATTTACATAAGTACAGTTGGATATTTCTGCATTGAAGTCATACTCACTTTAGTTTTCCATTCAGAAAAGCTTTTCCCCTCTGTGTATTTTTCAACAGCTTGAAGGAGCTCCTCATCAACATTACGACAGTTCTCAACCTCTTTCTGGTTCCCCAGTTTTTTCAAGTACTCCACTCTCCTGACAGGATTTCAAAACCAGTATTTAATCAGCTGATAAAAGCGATGATCTAGATACAATGTGATTTCCCCTTCATTTAACATAAAATCTAAATTTGCAAGTACCATAAGCAGTGCTGAAACTCTCTGGCTTGTTTAGATATTATGAATGTCATTGCCAAATCAGTGGAGTGTTTTACCATTCATCAGTCCAGAAGAAGGGGTGTGCGAGGGTTTGCTCCACAGTTGGTCTGTTGTTTGGATTTTCATGAATCATCCACTCGACGAGATCCTTCCCTACTTCATCATCCAGATGCTCCAGTGAGTATCTTCCTCGTAAAATGTTGTACTCACAAGCAGCACCTTTACCAAATGGATGTTGTCCTCTAGAGAGAATGTAGTAGACTAACATCCCAGCAACCTTCAAACAGATTGTAGTGTTACCATTAGTTCTGAATGTTCACTGAGGAAACTTTTAGCTAACTGATAAATATTGAAAACCCACCTGAATGTCGGAGCTCCTCTTGTACCCAGTGTTGACCTCCTCATCTATGGTCTCCTTTGCCTTCCAGCTTCTAGTTCCAGCAATGCTTGTTCGTAAAGTGGTTTCACTCTGTTTTAGTCGGCGACTTATGCCAAAATCAGCCAATCTGGCTTTTCCATGTATGTCTGTAACAAATGGAAAGTCAATTCAAGTTATTTCAATGGTGAAAAAATGGGTTATGATATTTTAATTAGACATATGTTGCAACTCCTACCAATCAGGACATTCTGGGGTTTGATGTCTCGATGGAGCACTTTGGTTTTCTGGTCGTGTAAAACCTGTAAGCTGCAGAGAACTTCCTTCACCAGCTTCTTCAGAACCAAAGATCTCTCAGCACTTTCATCTGGTAAATGATCTTGAATATATTCCTCCAGTGTGTACTCACAAAGATGAAGAACAAGGTACCCAAAATGCGTATCCTCAGCAAAGTCCACATATCGCACGATGGAGGGACTATCGAGTTCTGGAAGTCGTAGAAATTCCTCCTCATTTCTGAGAACTTGGTAATTAAACCTGTTCATTCGTTTCACAGCCACCTCAGTGCCGTCATCCCTCAAACCAAGGAAAACTTGAGTTCCATCACTTCCTTTAGCGATCTGAAATTCATCACTGAGTACAAGAGTAAGGTTTCCCAGTCTGTATGTCCTGCTAGGATCAATGTTAGCTAGCTTCTCGAGCTTAGACCTCCAACGACAGCTAGTCTGAAGCCACCTTCTTGAGATATTTGGGCTCTCAGCAGGTTGTGTGAACGGCTGCACACTTGAATTTGATTCCTCAATGGATGTCACTACAGCATCTGGATACGATCCCCCTTTATCTTGCGGTTCATTTTCTTGTGATCCCACCTCTTGCTGGATTTTCTTCTTCTTCTTCTTTTTCCTGCTGTTTGAAGGAGCTGCAGTCTTCTCATATAAAGTGTCCACTGCTCCTGAAGGATGTTTGAGTGATATGTTCAGTTTTTGTAGCTTTTTGTTCATAGCTTCATTCTCTATCTCTGCGGTATTAAGTATCACCTCTGGGACAGGAGACAATCCACACAATGCAACAAGTTCGGGAGCGATGTCATTTATGTAGGCGAAAAAACTATATGTCCACATTCCAATCAGACTTGAATAATCAGGACGTGTGAGAGGCAACAGACTTTTGCATAACTTCTCATAGACAGAATGATTCAGTCTCAGTTTCTGCTCAGACGTCTTCTGCATCATGACATTGAGTATCTTTAGTATCAGATGATTGATTTTTTCTCCTTGTGAATTTCCAAAGTGCTGAAGACTGTTTGTAAGTATTGGCACAAGATCACTGAATATCTGAGGAGAGATTCTTTTGCTGATGCATAAAGCAGCATATAAGCAGTTTAGTGCAAGTGGCCAGTGTTCCTGGGGGATTTTTGGGAAGCGTTTGATGACTCCCTCAATGTATATATCTGCCTTCCTTTTATCTTTTAACCACTTGATGGCGCTCTGACGATACTGCTCTTCACTTGGACCAATGACACCAAAATACACCTCAAACACAACTGTATGAATGAAAGGATCCTCTTCAAAGAAATGTTCCTTAAAGATTTTGAAAACTTCTGCCTGCTCTCTATTATGTATTGCACAAGATAAAGAGAAAAATAGCTCGACATTTTGAAAATGTTCACTCTGTAAGGATAGTTGACTGATCATGTCCTCCATTTTTATATCTATCTCTGGATCAGTCCCACAGTTACTAGAAGCTGAGGCTCCAGCCTCTATAAGTGCTTTCACAATGTCTTCACGGTCAATAAAGGCAGCATACTGCAGTGGAGTTAAGACATGTAATCCATGTCCATTTGGGTCAGCTTTTGCTTTAAGTATTTCTGTCACAATAATCAGTGGAACTCCAGTTAAAGCAGCATAATGTAGAGGACTTAGTCCATTTGTTGAGGATTTGTTTGGATCAGCTGACTCTTTAAGTAGATAAGAGCAGATTTCTTCATTTCTGCATAAAACTGCTGCAGTTAATGGTGTAACATCATCATTCCAAAGCTCAGAAGGGTACAGTCCATTAATATCTCTGCCTCTTATTAATTTGCGAAGTCTCTTTAATTTGTTCTCTATGATGCATTGTATTAGGGGGTCTGTTTTTCTAGGTACTGCTGGAACAGGAACTGCAACTGGTACTTGGATCTGGGATGCCATAGATCTTCAAATACTCGTTAAAATCTGTTGAGATATGTTAAATACTTTAAATTACTTTTCTACTTTCTTTACACTGGTAATGTAAATTCTGTGCTTTATCTAGGTGATCAATTGAGCTTTTAGAGACTGACAATCTGGGTAATTGGCTTTTCTTTTCTATTTTCGTCATAGTTATTTGTGTTTAAATGAGAATATATCATCATGTCATGTGCATTAGTTTCAGTGAATACAACACTGAATACAAAGTCATACAATATGAAAGACAAGTTTTTGCATGCTTTTTGTTTTCATGGAAATGAAACTTAGGGATGGGCAGACCGATCTTGAAGAACAGATACTTTCGGTATCACAAAGTTAGCAGAGAAAGAGAAGAAAAAAAAGCTTTTTAAAAAGTAAGGTATTTTTCATGTTTATCCAAAGATGTCTGCTGCAAGCCACATGCCGTCGCTAACAGCATACTTATAAAGATAGAAAGAGTAACATTATCTAGAGTTGTTTTACATTGAACAATGACAAATGTAAATGTAACATTTAATATAATGGGTTTGTGTGACCTTTGTTATAAGTTTATTTAAATGAAAAGTTGTTAAAATACCAAGTGATCTGTGATTGCAGTTGATAAACAACAAAACAGAATCTGATAATTATTATTAAGTGTTAGAAAATGACAGCTTTCAAATATCTTAAAATGATAATGATAAATGCTTATAATTACCTATTTTATTCCTAGATGTCGCAAAAAAAAAAAAAAATCTATTCAGTAGAGTTAGTCCTATTGGTACTGGTATCTCATTGATATCCACCTTCATAGTAGTCTACTTGGTATCCTTATGGTATTCTTATTTTAAGGTAGGTGTCATACCTTCCTTGTTCTTACACACTGTGCACGTCATCCACCCCACATCCTGATTTAGTTTGTGTAAATAACCACTGAAACGTGTTTGGCAGCTTTCTATAGAATACATGTGATGCAGGTGCAAGGCAGACAGGTTAACATGGTGGATCAAAGTGGTAGTAATGAAAAAATTAAGAAGAGAAGCACAGAGAACAAGCAGCTAACAACAAAATCAGAACACTGAACACACATGTACATACAACAACTGACAACAAGCACAGCAGACACTGTGGCTTAAATACTAGGGTGAACAAGACACAGGTGTGAACAAAGAGGGACTGACGAGGGAAACTAAAAGAACTACAAAAGGCCTACAAAACTAGAACAGGAAACCAACCAACCAAAACTTAAACATAAAAGTCCAAAACCAGACACAGAGCAGGGAACGTGTGACAGTACAGTCAATGCTAGTATAATATTAATTAAATAATATCCTAAAATAAGGTGTTAATGTAAGATGATAAAGCAGATGGCTAAAAAAGCTAATCAAACCTAATTATGAATTAATAAATTAAATGATGTTCATTATTTAGGGTTGTGTTTTTCTTCTTCTCTCTGTATCCCAGCTTGCAAAACACACTTATCAAATAAGTCACTTCAAATAAAAATATTTTTACATTCATTGCACAGAAAAAAAAAAAAGAAAAAAAATATTTGTCCAAAATCAGTTTACCACTTTGTTGAACTTGTAATGAGTAAGATCAAGTCACTTTCGGTATTAATAGACATATGATGGTTTAAAGGTTTGTGCTTTAGAAAGTTTCCCTGTATTGAAGCACAGATTATCTTTTTCTTTCACAAAAGGCTTGGATAGTCCCAAAGCATAAGCCACGCGTGGTCTAAGATTGGTTGAGCGGATATATTGCATTCTGCAGAAAAGGGAGACTGGCGTTTGTCGTGGTTTGGAAAAAAGGGGAGAAAACATGACAGAATAACTCGGCGGATATCACATTTTGCGTAAAATTAAAAATGGACTTTTCAATACCGACCAGATACAATACTGATTTTGGCGGAAACTCAATTTAAAAAAAAAAGGCATTTATCGCGTTTTGGAACCAAACTCTTCAAATATTCTTTGCTCGCTTTCTTTAATGTGCCTTTCATGACAGAATTTTCATTTTTGGGTGAACTATCCCTTTAAAGATTGTCACATATTTTACAAACACCAACTGATCACACTTGTGACTAGTTGTTCACTTAGCTATGAATGCTTTTAAAACAGTATTTTTTATCACAAAAACACAAAACAATTTCCTTCTTTATATTAATTTTATATTAATTTTAACATGGCTGATACAAAGTAAATTTACTCCCTAGTAAATCTGTTCAGAAGGTTCTCAAAAGGTGTGATGATGGTGATGTTAGATCGAGTCTCCACATCAGGAATATTGCATCCAATCTCTTTTCCACAACCTGTCGGAAAATATCTGTTTTGTCTGGTACCCAAAAATCAGTGTTTTTTACATTTTGTCTAGTACCAAAACCTGTATTAGCCTACCCTGTTTTCTATCAGCCCAAGAGGCCGACGGAGGAAGCCACAGAAGAGCAGAAAGCAGGAGACGAAGTGATGGTGAAATGAACAAAGCTTATTTAATAATCTTACTTGTGTCTGTTTTAATGCTCATTCAAACGTCATCTGAACAGCACGAATCCAACAATTGTTATCATACCACAATGGCAATTTACTGCTTCACAACATTAAAACCCTTGAAAAGACATTCTCTTCTCTTGCAAAGACAACCGTTAACAACATGATAATGTAATAATGGCCAAATGATAATATAAAATGAATGTTCAATGAATCAATCAATTGAACGAGTATAAATGGTTTAAATGATTATTATAAATGATTAAATGGAATAATTAAATGATAAATGAACATAATCGAATGAATGAATAAAAGAAAAGAAAAAATAAAACAACACAAATGTATGGATGCTCTCTTGAACACTAAAAAAATGACTGCTGCAATTAGTTATCATGACTTAAAATTCAGCATTAAAATTAGTAATAATGCCTTGTTTCAACAAAAAAATGAAGCGTTCATGCATGACTTAAAATTATGTTTAGTTAATTTAGTTAGATATTTATATAACTAACCTCAGCAGATTTTTTTTTCAATGAAGCAACACGCACATGTTGCTTAAAAGTTACAGAGAATATGTCCTAAAAGATTGGAAAACAAAGTTTAAACCTAAACAAACATTTATGCAACTAATTAGAATCCCTGAAACCCCATATTTCACTTTCTGTTTCGTTGCAGAACTAAATCAATAGTTCTTTCAGTAAATGAAAATCTAAAAATGGTATAAAAGCTTGTCGTTATTGGTGACTGCAAAATTACATTTTTATGTTAGATTTACATTTATGACGCCTACTTCATGTCGTCAATGACACTTTCTCTGGAGTTCCATCCTCTCTCTTTGGCAAACAAGTACACACTCCAAAAGAGATCAGGGAATAAAGCCATCAGGTTGATATTTACAGCACCTTCTTTACTGTGGAGAGAACGACACACAAATAGAATTTTTATGCAAGAAAGTCTTAGTTAAAATCTCATCTTCCCTTACATTTCTATGACACTTCTCTCCCATTGGCTGTTGATCATAACTGATCAATTGTTACTTTATTTATACTCCGCATTGCATTGTAAACACATTACTATCTTGGATTAGCATTATCTTTCCATTATTCAACAGTGTCACAGCGGAGCAGGAAATGGAAATAGTTAAGGATCTAATCACAGGACTTTATTAATTAAACAAGAAGGTAATCCAACAAGGAGTAATCAAGGGAAGAAACACAATAGACAGCTTTGTAATCCAAAGACATGCTAAGACAATGACCGACAACAACAGACTTAAACAGAGGGCTATAAATGGACAGGACAACGTGATCTCATGATAATTCGTATGTATTTTACGTAAAATGTGGTTCTATAAAACGTACATTTACTTACGTTTTTACAGGCACTAAAACGTACAGTACTGACGTATTTTCAGCCTCTGAACGTACAAATACTTATGTATTATGTAACACTGTTTTTACACCAAATTATATGTAATATCTAATTATTATATTAATATTTAACTTGCAATGGAAAGGTTTCCGTGACCTCTCGCGAGATCTCGGCAAAAAGTCTCACGATTTATTTCCAGAACATGATGCATGATGTTCGTTGGTGTTCGTGCGCTTGCCTCAAAAGAGGACTTACAAAGATACATAACAGCTACAAGTGTATGCAGGGGCGTAGATTACGTGGGGGACGCTTTTAATATCACGTAAATTCGTCCCCCGCACTTCTTCGGGCAAGTGTGTTGGCATAGAGGTTTTCAAGAGCCGGTGTGAATAAATATAGATTTAAATTCAAAGAGACAGGATAGTCTGTGCATGATCTGATGTTTTATTCGGACACAGAATAAGCCGAGATGAACATCGCGGAGCGCTAAACACTCATGCAGTGTATGTTTCATTCCACAACACATAATTGCGAATAACATGCCTTACTTTAACACAGAATCGACCACAGAGTCCAGCGTTTATATTTTTTCTACGAATCTTTGAGTTAACATGTACTAAACATGAGTGGAATTTGCACCGCAGCGCCCCCACACCTTGATGCTCATGACAAGAATAGCATGTATAGTTATCTTTATTGAAGTGAATTAGGTTTAAATCGCCGTCATGCATGAATGAATGATATTTTTGCAATTTTACACATAATAATCCACGATGATCACATTACACAAAACTGAAATTGCACGTCAAAATAACACATTGTCAATATTTTTTGAGACCCCCCAAAATTTCACAAATCACGTTTTCAGGGGAGCCCATGTCTTATTAAGGGGAGCCGAGCTCCCCCTAGCTCCCCCGTAGTTCGTACCCTGCCTGTAACTCACCAATGCTCATGTAGGTTGCGCATAAAACGCAGCAGGCCCAGTGTGTTCTCAGGGTAGGTTCTATGCCTTTTTTCTTCCATTTTCTGGACAAGCTCAGGTTGGAACTGAGAATGAAATATAATGATTTTCCACAAAACTAAAATTAAATATGTAAGCTGCAATGTATTAAATTAAAATTAAACTACAATAGCAAGGTCAATTATATGGTTAATTATATGGCTTTTTCACATTAGTTTGCTCATATCTGTCTGATGATGAAACACCGGCCACAGAATTATTTGTAGGAAAATTATCTTAATTTGTATGTATTCATAAATTCTGCAGACTTACTTTAGTTTTCCATTCAGAAAAGCTCTTCCCCTCTGTGTATTTTGCAATGGCATTAAGCAGCTCCTTATCGGCAGTATTGCAGTGTTCAGCCTCTTTCTCTTTTCCCAATATTTTTAGATACCGCACTCTCCTGAGACAATTTCAGAAATGTTACACAATCATTTGACAGCTATATCATCTACATTATTGTGTCACATATAGTGTCTTTGTGATAACACCCATATTAAAAGTGATGCAAAAAAAAGGGCTACAAATAAATTGTGATTAAAAGCATTGATTCTTTTTAGGCTTAAAATTAATATGTTGAGGAGTAAATGAAGTGTTGTACTGTATTTCACCTGTCAGTGTCAAGACTACATTATACCTGTCATCAGTCCAGAAGAAGGGGTGTGCGAGGGTTTGCTCCACAGTTGGTCTGTTGTTTGGATGTTCATTGATCATCCACTCGACAAGATCCTTCGCTACTTCATCATCCAGATGCTCCAGTGAGTATTTTCCTTGCAGAATGTTGACTTCACAAAATGGTTGTTCACCAAATGGATGTTGTCCTCCAGAGAGAATGTAGTACACTAACATCCCAGCAACCTTAAAACACGTTACAGTGTTACTAGTTTAGCTTTTTCATCTAGTAAAATTAAAATGTATTATATTTATGTCAAATTTAAGTAAATATCTCATAATATATATATTTTGTAATATTTTTAACTAATTTATAATTATAATATTGTTAACTCAAAAGGAGAGGAGAGACCACCTGAATGTCGGAGCTCCTCTTGTACCCAGTTTTGAACTTCTCTTGTATGTTTTCCTTTGCCTTCCAGCATCTAGTTCCAGCAATGCTTGTTCGTAAAGTGGTTTCACCCTGTTTTAGTCGGCGACTTATGCCAAAATCAGCCAATCTAGCTTTTCTTTTTATGTCTGGGAAACAGTCAAATACCATTTCCTGTTAGAAACTTAGTTTTCATAAATTAAATAAACATAGCTTTGTAAGTTTAAGAAACGTACTCGGTTACTAACGTAACCTCGGTTCCCTGAGATACGGGAACGAGTACTGTGTCTTGCTTAAGACGGTTTGGGGAAAAAGCCTTTTTTCAATCACGTAGTGAAACTGCACGGCCATTGGTTCGTGCAGTGTATTAAAAATGAACCAATGGCTCGGCAGCGGAGCCGCACGAGTGGAGCTGCATGAGCCTATGGCGACGAAGCCCGCCAAAGTCCGCCAAAATGGGCGGGGCATCTGGCTATATAAGCGGGCGTTCGCCACAGGATTCTCAGGTTACTTCGACTGAAGCGACGACTTAGTCGTGCAGCTACATAGCACGGCAAGCAACGCAGTACTCACTCCCATATCTCAGGGAACCGAGGTTACGTTAGTAACCGAGTACGTTCCCTTTTGATACTACACTCGTACTGCGTCTTGCTTAAGATGCTTTGGGAACACAGTACAATCACGCCGTGCTAATGTAGTGGAATGACTAAAAGTATCAAACTTCCATAAGCAACCAATGCCCATAGAGAAGTTAACAACAACCCAAGGCTAAGACGGGCTGAGCTTCTTGAGGTCACACCCGGCCTGGTTAATCGTTCCAGAGTACTCCTGTAACTTCGACACCCAGGGGTCGAGAGCTAACATGTGAACTAATGCCAGAGAGCTTGAGCGTGATACGGCCAAGGCCTCTCTGCCAGATCTGTTTACGCAGCGCGTGTCTCTTCAAGTGGAAAGGACCCTGGTCTGCAAGGCCTGGACTTCCAGGTTATAAAACCTTGCGAATGTGGACGGCAAGGCCCAGCCGGCCGCCTCACAAATATCCACAATGGACACACCACTGGACCATGCCCAAGACGAGGTGATGCCTCTAGTCGAGTGGGCCCGTATTCCAATGGGGCATTGAAGGCCCAAAGAAGAGAACACTAGCGAGATGGAGTCTACTATCCATCTAGAGAGTCTTTGCTTCGTGACCGGAAGCCCTTTGGTGCGGTTACCGAAGCTAACAAAGAGTTGTTCCGACCGCCTATAGGGGGCGGAACGCTCAATGTAGATTCTCAGAGCTCTGACGGGGCAGAGCAGAGATAGCTCTCTGTCCTCTTCAGAAGGAGGAAGCGCGGAGAGCATAATGACCTGTGCTCTGAATGGAGTTGAGAGCACTTTAGGTACGTAACCGTGCCTTGGTTTCAGGACGACTTTAGAGTCGTTAGGCCCAAATTCCAGGCAAGCAGGGCTAATGGAGAGCACCTGCAGGTCTCCTATTCGCTTTACTGATGCCAGTGCCGAATGTTGGCAGAGTGTAGCGGCTCGAAAGCAGGGCCCGTCAGGGCCCTCAGCACAGTGGGCAGATCCCATGAAGGGACGGTAGGAGGACGAGGCGGATTCAGCCTCCTGGCACCCCTTAAGAAGCGGATAACAGCGCTGTTTCTGCCCACCGATTGGCCCGCAATAGGGGCATGATAGG